CTCTCTCTCTCACACACACACACACACACACATACACACACACACACACCTGGGTGAGGTTTTCCATGGTTTGTCCCCACCAAGATTCTTTTTTTCTTTTTTGCATTTTATTTATATATTTATTTATTTTCGCTTTTATTTTATTTTAACAGAGCATACGGTGGGGGGTTATTTACAGAAGAGTGGGCCCCCCATTTACAGCTGCACTGGAAAGTCCACACTCAAATATAGATCCTGTGGCTTCCCGACAGTCACAGAAAATTCCCACCAAAATTCTTATGGAGGTTTGGACTCCAGTAGAGCCACATGTGGGTGGCAGTGCTGCTGAAAAGAGGTGATGATGCCTGTTTAGGTATTGATGCCATTCTCGGTTTCTTTTCTAGTCTTTCCTTTTTTTCTCTTTCCCTCTCTCCCTTCTTTCCTTCCTTTTCAGTACCTGAGCTTGAACCTAGGGCCTCATGGTCTCTTGCATGCCAGGCAAGTATCTCAGCCTTTATATTTATTTAGAGACAGGATGACAGGGCTTCCCTTTCTTCCCTTTTCCTTTCCAGGCCAGACTGGCCTCAAACTCCAAATCCTGTCTCTGTTTGCTGAGTGCTTGGATGACAAGCATTTAATACATGTCTAGCCTGCCTTTGTCACTTTTGAGGGACTGGGCTGGTTAGCATGAGTGGCATGTTATAGAGACATGCACCTCCCCACTCTCTTCCACACTTGCCCATCCACTTTTCCACCATGCATGGTCCTCAGCCAAGCAGATGCTGGCACCATGCCCTTAAACCTCCAGAGCTATGGACTAAATAAACCCTTATTTCCTTATAAACTACCAGCCTCTAGTATTTTGTTACAGTAACAAAAAAAAGGGACTGACAGATAAAGCTTGTAAAATTGTTATTTTAAAAATATTTTATTTATTATTTTTATTTTATGTATATGAGTGTATTGCCTGCATGTAAGTGTATCCATGTCGTGCAATGCCCTGCAGAGGCAGGAAGAGGGTGTCAGAACCCCTGGAACTAGAGTTGCAGACTATTATTAGCCACTATGTGAGTGCTAGAAGGTCCTCTGGAAGAATAGCAAGACTTCTTAACCACTGTACCATCTCTCCAGCCTCTAAAATTGCTATTTTTATAGGTCAAAACAGACAACTATTTATCAGTTCAATTTGGTTCAACCTGATATTTATGTACATACATACATACGTTGATAGTTACACCCATATACACATACAAACATATGTGTACACACAAGTGTATACATATACAGATAAATTTTCAGTTGCCCTTCTCTGTGACTGTACTAGTAGAAATCTACTCTAGCCTCTGCTGTGTCCTTTCCCTGCCCTGCCAACCTTGCCACCTTTCCTGACACTAATCACTCGTGCCATTGTCCCTTCACAGGAGAGCGAAGACCTAGAGAAACAGAATGCAGCTCTACGCAAGGAGATCAAGCAACTCACGGAAGAGCTGAAGTATTTCACATCGGTGCTGAGCAGTCATGAGCCCCTGTGCTCAGTGCTGGCCAGCGGCACCCCCTCGCCCCCCGAGGTGGTGTACAGCGCCCATGCCTTCCACCAGCCTCACGTCAGCTCACCACGCTTCCAGCCCTGAGCTTCCAAACAGAGAGGACGGAGCCCCCCACTGCTGCTACTCCACAGACCTCACTGGAAGTATGCACAGACCAAGGCCAGGTTGCCCTCGTACCTCCTTCTGGAGACCCAGTGCCAGAGGCTTGGACAAGGACTTTGAACACAAGGACCATATTGGCCAAAGGGGCATGAGGGCTCTCAGCAAGGTACAGCAAGCCGATGAACTGGACCCCATGTGGTTGGAGAAGCAGCCCCCAGGGAGCGTCATGTTGGATGCCTGAGTCCCGTAGCACAAAGGGAGGAGAGCAGGGAAGGGACAGTTTTCTAAATAAACATTTTTTTATAAGAAACCAGCCTGGGAAGGCAGTTTCCCTGGTTTACGGTGTCTGCATTCTATAAATTGCTTTCTGTGGTGTTGAGAATATTGTTTTCCTTCTTGGCCTTAAGTACCACCTCCAGACCCCAGAGACTCTGCTAATATCTCTTCTCCATGCTTTGTCCATCTACTTGGGAAGCTGGACTTTTTCCCAAAGCATCTTCAACCCTCCCTCTAGACATCTTTCTAACCTTCCTCCCCAGATCTGCTTAGCATAGCCTCCCCTACCATCCCTTGCTGCCTCATGCTTTCTAGACAGTGAGCAGGTCACTCCGGAGTTAGAGAAAAAGCTCAATGCAAGACACCATCTGGAGAGATGGAAGTCAGTTGGATCCCAGCATCTCACTGGTACACCTACCCAGGTAGCTGCCCCAGCCCCAGGACGGAGACTCAAGGATGCTGTGCACCAGGCTCCATGCCAGGGATTTGAGCAGTACAAAAGCAGAGCCTCTCATTCAAAACAGGTAGCTTAGATCCACAGCGACTTTTGCCACACCCTGCCAAAGACTCTGCCTCTGTTCGAAAGTGGGGTTAAAGAGCTTTGCCTGTCCCCATGAGGTTCTATACGTTGCCATCTGTGTGCCTGGAGTGGCTTAGGTAGCTCAGGATTGTCTTCAGTTTGAACATCTTGTGGCTGGAGCCAGTGTGTATCACCTCCCTCCCTGATGTCCACCTGCTCCTCAGGCCCTGTGCCTGCTGGTCTGCATGTCACAGTCTTACCTAAGAGCAAGAATAGCTGTCTCCCAGGCTGCAGTGGAGCCATAGTCTCTACTGAGCAGCTGAACACCAATGCAAGAAGGCCCACAGGGCTAGGCCTCTATTGCAAGCACCACCCTTAGTTCCCCCAAGATAATCACCTACTGCTGCTTCCCAGGTAACAGCCAGGCTCAGCTGACAGGGAAGGAGGAGCTGGCTACTTCCATGTCAGCAAGTCCTAACCTGTTGTCCAACAGCTCTGGCTCATCTGAGGCCTCGTTTGATCTCTCCTGCCCAAGTGTCTCCCACCTTCTTGGATGAGGCCAGTATTGGACTACTGTTGAACATTAAACTCCATAGAGGCCTGAAAAACTGACCCCTTACCTATGACATTTGACTTACTTGTGACTATCTGTGGGAGGATCTCATAGCAATCATGGAGGTGGGGATGGAGACTCTCCTTTATGCAGCCATTGTCCATACATGCTCCAGGAAATGGGGACTGGACTGAGTCCCAATACACAGAGCCTGGGGAGACATCCCAGGTCCCCTTCACTAAGTACTAGCTTTTCTTCCTTGCCAAATCTGGAATCCTAATCTTTGGTCTCCCAACAAAATGATAAACCTGGCTCCTCTTCCAGAGTAGAGACTCCATGTGGCCTGGGGTATGTGACCAAGAGTTGTCCTCTCTTCCATTTCTTATAATACCTGGGGTTCCGGTGCTCGTGCTCTGGCTACCTCTTTCCCACCCCTCCATGAATGGTCACGCAAAGGACCTCACCCCAGCCATCCCATGCATTGAACACAATTCATTTTTGGTTCACAATCTTAAGACATAGAACTTAGAGTCCAGCTTTGTTTGCAGCTGACCCCGTGACAACCTGGCCTTTCACGGATAGGCTTCCTTCCAGTCAGAGATCTCTCTCCCCACCCCTGCTGTAGCATAGTGATTTTCCCCCAGAAACCCCCATACAAGGCACATGACCTAGGCTGGGCATCTTCTGAATGAGACTGGAGCCCGAACTAGAAATGCAGCTCACGTGCACCCGTTCCCATCTCTCGGCAGGAACCTCTCTTCCCCTTTCGTTCTCCACTTTCTAATGACCCCGGGGGACTTCCACTTCTCCTTTCTACTCAGCCTGGCAGAGGCAGCAGAAGGCTGACACCGGGGAGGTGCTAGCTTTGTCTCTACATAGGGACCTGGGAGGGGTAGCCATGAGTTGCAGATTTGAACTTTCAGAACTTTGACCTTGGACATCTCACCATCCCAGCTTCATGCTCTTGATGGAAATGACGCCCCCCACCTCCCCCATGAGTTGACTCATGTTCAAGTGCCTCTAGGCCCACACAGGCAGTGTCAGTGTATGGAGCTCACTGGACACAGAATAACTGGGAGAGGTGGAGAGTATGGCAAACCAAGGAGTGAGAGTGTATAGTTTCCCTGTCATTCCATCCACTGGGACCATGTTGGAATTCAGACACAATGGTGGGTCTATCTCCCAATTTGTAAGAAAAGTCAAAGTCAGAATTTCTACATGAGTTTTCTTTCTTACTTTCCTTCTTTTTCTTCTTCCCTCCCTCCCTCCTTCCTTCCTTCCCTCCTTCCCTCCCTCCATCCTACCTTCCCTCCTTCCCTCCCTCCATCTTTCCTTCCTTCCCTCCTTCCTTCCCTCCCTCCCTCCTTCCCTCCCTCCCTTCCTTCCCTCCTTCCCTTTCTTCCTCCTGCCCTACTTTCCTTTTATTCCATTCCTCCTCTCCTCCCCTCCCTCCTCCC